CCAAGCTATAAAAAATTTATAAAAAGTTTCGTCAGATTTCGAGTGCAATCAATAATATATACACAACCACCTGGTTTCACATCTGATGCTTAAAAATGATCGTAACTCATATAGTATACTTCCCCTTTCTTTCATGTTCTTTTTTATTTATTTTTTCATGCAAGCAGCAACATAAACCACGAGGATGTGAAGGCATTTTTGTAATTATGAGTAAAATATGTATGCTAATGCAAAACACTAAAAGGCATAGCTTTAAAAGAAAAAATTCATAAAAATCCAGAGGAAAAAACGGAAAATGGCTTAAGATAAAGGGGCACGCACCTCAATACGAATGGGAAAATCCAAATATCCAATCCATATTCCAGGCCAAAGTTAGGTTCCAATTTCAATTTATGACGTGTATGCTATGCTCCATTGGGAGCATATACTGTATATCTACTCTCTTCGGTTGAGGACCTGTTTGGGAAGATTTTTTCGATCTGAAATTTTGAATATATGAGAATCATTAGATGGATTTTTATTTTTCTAATAATAATAATTTAGATTTTGAGTTTTTTAACACTTAGATCTCACCTTCTAAAAATTAGACCGTCTCTGTTCAAGTATTAGACATAATTGTTCTCAAGTGTATAAAGAGCACAATTGAGATTATTTTTTTAAAAAAAAAAATTGTCTATAGTTTGAACAGGTTATATCCCCAAAATTTGGGGTCCTAAAATTACTCCTAGGCTTTACAAGAGGGGAGTAAATGGGAGTATGAAATCTGTTGGCTTCAATAAATAGAGCGGCGACATGCAAGGTGGTCTGGTAAGGCCTAGGGCTCACGATAAAAAATAGAGTCCATTTAGAACCTCATTGCGAAAATGCGGTCCCATGCCAGAAATTTCTACTTTATTTCAATCTCTTTCACTGTAAAATTTGAAGGCTCATAATAATTGTTGAAATTTGGTGTTGAGATTTGAGGCCCTACACCAATAAATGTCCCCGATATGAAAAAACCTAGCTTGATTTTTCATATTGGACAAAGCTTCCAACTTTAGGTTTGTTAATCATAGCACTATTCATATATGCTGCCCAAAAGGTGGCAATGAATACTCGTATATGCTGTCCAAAAGGTGGCAATGAACGCTCGGACAGGTGGAATCCTAGCCATCATATCTTCATTCGATTAGTTTAAAATATACGTCACTATCTAAATTTTAATCATTTTTTAGAAATTTGATTGAGATGAAATTTTGGTGTATGTACTTGACACCAACTTGCACTATATAAAAAATATATAAAACATATATTTTAATAATTTAAAATAACCAAATTACCCCATCATTTTTATGGGATATGTAGGTCATTCTATATTTTAAGAAAAATTTATTTTATATTTTTCTTGTATGCCCTATTTTTTAGTACGTATGTCCAAAATTTCATCTCGATCCGATTTATAGATAAAATATTAAAATTCAGATAGTTATATGTATTTTGATTCAGTCGATAAATATCACACGACTATAATTCCACTTATATTACTATTTATTATAGGCAAACGATTGGTAGCTTTTTTATTCCTTCATATATTTCCCAACTAATACACCATTTTAATCTATTTGTTTCAAAAGGTAGAACACCTTACTTAACTTCTCCTTCCTCTCAAGGGTTTCTTTTTCCCTTTTTAATTTTTTTCTTTCAACCCTTGGGCCAACCCACCCTTGGCTCTAATTCACATGGGGCTGTCCCAGGCGCGGTCTTGACCAGGCCAAAGAGGCCCTGGCCCAAGGCAGTCCATCCCTACTTCATGGCATGATGGCTTGGCCCTAGTTTTTTTTTCCAGCCATGTAGACCGGACTTGACGGAAGCATCCAGCCCATCGCCACTCCTAGTCATGGCTTGTAGATTGGCTCTCTTAAAAATCGTTGAGGTCTTTTATTTGAAGGAGCAAATGTACAATTTGCCCTAGTAGGAACACAATAGACAATTGTCCTAGGAAGTTCTCAATTTCTCATCCTTGATGATATTTTGGTGTGGACAAATATCACTGAATAATCATGGGAGTTATTTTAATCTAAGAAGGCATATATGGGTGCCAACGGGTCACGTTGGATCCGGACCTGGAAAACTATTATGGGACCGAAGTCATCGGATCCATACCCAAAACCTAAAAATTAAAATATCTATGTATATAAAACATATTCTCATATATTTTTATAAATCGGGAAATGTGGAACCCTGACCTCACCTACCAAGTCTAATTTTTGAACCCATACTGGGTCCCAGGTCAGGTCTGGGTCCATTGCCACCCCTAAGGGCCTAGGACGTGGGAAAATGACTGATGGACAGTAAAATCCTATGTCATATATATGAAACAACTTGACTAGGTACTACATTCACCATACTGTGTTAGCCTAATTTCATTGTAGTTTTCCAACTGTTTATACCCCTTTAGAATAGGTTGTCAAGGAAGAAAAAATAAAGGAAAATAAAAATATGAATGCCTTGGGACTTGGAATATAATCCATGAAAGATTGATAGAGAGCAAAATATGAAAAGCAAAAAACAAAAAAGTATTTTGAATCATTATATCAGTTAAAAAAAAAAAATGATTTTATTTAATATTGAAAAAAGAAATTGGATGGATTTTGTGCTCTTGTACACCTAGATTTGACTGTCTAAATATTGGATAGATTTAAACGGATGATTGTATCATTATTTTAGGTCCTCAAAATTTTGGAGCAAACCCCTAAGTAGTGTTTGGCCTTAGGTTGAAAATGTGGATCTGGACCTCGTGGGAGCATAAAACTATGCAAAATTAAGAAAATGCACCTACAGTTTCAACTATTTGAAATTTTACCATTTTTCAACTGCTACAACTTATAATCATGTATCTTTTGAAGGGCTTTTTGACATTAAATAAAAATAAAAAAAAATTAAATTATTTATATCAAGTGTATTTTGATAAAATTACCGAAATTGTTCAGTTAGCAAAAACATTAATTGTGGATTTTTCTCTTTTTAATGGTGAGGTTCTCTTATTTTTTTCTCTCAACTAGTATTATACTACTGTAAAGTTAAATTCGGGTTTTGGCACACAAGCTTGCTTTTTGGCTTCTAATGGTGGCTTTTTTTTGTTGCTTCTGTGGTTTATGACGTGTCATGGTGACATACCCACCTGCTTTATCCTTGATTTGAAAGAAAAGGTTTGGTTTTATTTTGTCATGTATATTGTGCTTCGGCTGGCGCAAACAATCCATTTTCTTGTTAGGCAAATGACCTACTTACAAGAATTTTATTGTTTTGGATCCACTTTAGAATCACCAGATGAGTATTTTCAATAGTTTGGATTCGGCAATCCAAAAATTAGACTGTAGCGTTATATTGGCGATAACAAGTGGCCTCTTTTTTATTTTATTGGGGGTGGTAATTCAGTGGTATGAATATAACCTAAAATGTAGTGTCGTAAATGTCAACTACCAATCAATTAAAACTAGCCCCTGATAATGGACGGCCTCAGCTAGAGTTGTAACTAAAATACTAACATTTTATTGAACCTTAATTTAAATAGCGTTTGGCAAATGCAACAAGTCTTGCCATCTTATAGATATCAACAAATCCATAACTTTGGAATTAAGCACAATGAGACCAGTATTATTTGTACACAAAAGTCATAAATACTCCAATTTGTTAGATGTAAAATCGGGTGGCTGGGGCACCCTTAACAAAATCTAAAGTTTGAGCATGGTCAATGCTACCCCACCGGCTGCCCAATTTCACATATAATAGCTAAGAGTAAATGTGAATCATTTGTACCGTGCATAAATGGTTTTATTATATATTTTCCTTAGAAATATTACAAAAAGATTGTTGTTTTTTGGGAATTTTTCAAAGGATTACAAGCAAATACACTGAAATGAGTAGTTGAAATAAAGGAAAACTGATTTCTACAAGCATATACATTTCTTTATTGTTACTCTATAAATTTCTAATGGGTAATTTTCTCGCAAACCGGTATTTGGATTTGGTCATAATAATGTAGTAAGCAAATTAGGCAAGGAAAATTTTCAAATAAAGTGAAAAACCACCAAGTTCAATATGAAGAAAACCTTTTTGAGAATTTAAAACATTTGTTTTAAAACTCCAAGAAAATGGACATATTTTTACCATGGTAATGAAACTATCCCACAGCATGATTTTGTTCCAAAAGGAAAAAGTAAATAAAAGACAACATGCTTTCACAAAACCCAACTTCCCACTTCATTATTTGTCATGCCTTCAGCCTATCATTTTGTAATAATAATCAATTTCCTAGGGGAAAAGGCAATAGAATTTGAATATGCACAAGAAATCCTACCAATAATATTGTGGTCATAAATACACCATTAACTTTTAGATTTAATTTATTTATTTAGCTATCAAGCATAGTTCAGAAAAAAAAAGTTCAAATGATGATGATCATCTAAAAGCATCTCGTAGACAAAAGAGAAAAGCAAGATATTAGTGTGCATTTCATAACGGAAGTGCTATGTTATTTTGGAAGTGGCTGCTCCCTGCAGCTTCCTAAATAGTGTAATAAACAGAAAGCGTGGCTTCCTTTGTTACCCATTAGAAGCTGCCACTTTTGGGCCGCATTTTCACGAATAAAATGCACCATAAAAGAAGTAGAATCATAAATCCTCAGTTATGCTAGACTTAGTTGCCTACCAAGACAGAAATCATAATTGTTTTAAATTAATATCTTTTGCAGCAATCACACTTTCCTGAAGGGATACTGATAATAGAACTAAATCCATCTTAGGGTTAGTATTTAATTGCTTTTATCTAGTCATGAAGCATATGGCATAATCCCCAAAAGATATAAAAAAAAAAGAAGACATCAAAGGGAAAAGGAAAGAAATAAAAAAAAAAAAGGCAAGAAATAAGTACCTCAGTTAAGCAAATTTTAGTTGCCTACTGAGAAAGACACTGCAACTTAAATCATAATTCATAAGTGATTTACATAATTTCTGGGGCAGTCATAGTTTCGACAATGAACTTGAGGCAGTCATAGTTTCGACAATGAACTTGGGGCTCTCATTTTTACTAGCTTGTCTCTTTAGCAAGTCTTCTAACACAGTCTCCATGGCCAAATCAGGATCATGGCAACTGCCCATGAACAACTCTGCAATCTCACCTGGTGTCACTTGAACAACTCTTAAAGCCTCCTCCACCTCCTTCATCAGTGGGTGCTCTCCACTGAGACCACAATAATTCTTTGCTAAAATCTTAAATGCCTTAAACCCACAATAAGATAACAGTATATGCTTGTCCATTCTACCAGGCCTAAGCAGAACTGGATCAAGGTTCTCTTTATGGTTAGTGGTGAAGATCATTATCCTCTCCCCTCCACAGGAGGACCACAGCCCATCGACAAAGTCGAGAACACCCGAGAGGCTCACCCTGCTCTTTGTGTTGGTTTTCTCTCTTTGCCGTGGCTTTTTGTCTCTTGTCTCCTTCTCCATCACTCTCCTATTCATGAGTTTCAGAGAACAGTCGATGTCTTCAACGACAATGATCGATTTGCTCTTCCTGGAAATGAGGAGCTCCCTCAGCTGGAAGTTGTCCGTCACAGTCCTCAACTCGAGATCGTATATGTCAAAGCCCAAGACATTGTCTATGGCTGCAATCCAGTTAGTCTTACCAGTACCCGGAGGCCTGTAGAGCAAGTAGCTCCGTTTCCATGACCGTCCAACTCCCCTATAGAACACTTTTCTGTTAACAAACCTAGTCAAATCATCCTTTACTTCGGATTTGAGCTTGGGATCAATGGCTAACGTATCAAGCATAGAAGGATGAGACAGTCACAGAGGACCATGACCAGTACAAGCAATCACTGATCATGTTGACATACAGCTTCATTTCTCTGTTCTTCATGGCTAATTGCTCAGCCTCAGTGATAACATAAGGGATATAGGAATCATTCATGAAGTCGCGATACTTCCGATGGAACGAGAGCTCGAAGCACCGATTCTCATAGGTCTTAGAAGATGTTTGGTCCCTACTATTCTTCCGGGTACAGTGAAAGCTCCATTGAAGGGGAACACCTTTATAAAGGTCAGTGATTTTTTGGTGAGAATCCATTGAAAAGGTATGGGACTTAGAATTTTTACCCTTCCAAAGCTTTAACACATTAGCTGAAGCATAGCACTTTGGTGCAAGGTAGGTTTGAATGGCCTCATAGGGCCTATTTGAGTGGTCTGATTCATGTTCCACAACAATTATGGAGATATTGGGGTGGAAGAAGAAGGTGAAGAGCTTCTTGGCCATGTCATTTATTGCATCTCTCACTTGGGGTGGGAGATAATTCCGTAAAATCTCTCTTAGAAAGACAATGGAAGCTAAGACTGAGCCTAGTGATTGCCACTCCATTGTTGCTCAAACAATTGCTTTGCTTTGTGGATGAAAAAGAGGAACAAAGCCTGCTGCTTTCTGGATGTAACAAAAGGGAAGTGGAGGCTTATTTGAAGGGGAATTTTTTTATTTATTTATTTTTGATGGACATTATTTTTGTGTGGAGGTCCTAACCCATACCATTTGTTTTATGTGACAGTTTGGTCAATGTCCATGTCTATGTTCCTTCAGTACGAAGATTACCTTCGATGTTCCGCATGTCTCAGTACGAAGATTCCTTTGGAGGTTACACATTTTCCTTTTTTTTATTTTTTTTGCTCTTTTTATTTTTAATAAGGGTGTGGTTTTTATAGGGTTGCAAATCCAATAGATCTATATACATATGAAAATCTTGAAAATGGACGGTCTAGATTCAAAAACTCAATTTTTTTTTTTTGCATATTCATGCATCTCAATGTTGAGAGAATCAATTAGAGAGTTTTCCAACATTAACAACCTTTTCTAATGGATTTCTAAGGTGCATCTTTAATTCTACATTTTAAGGTTGCAACCTTATATACACTTTTTCCTATTAATAAAGCAAAAAGCATATGCTCAAAACATGATGGAGGGAGCATATTATACTTATACTCTCCCCCCCCCCCGGTATAATATATCGCAAAGTTATCAAAACCGGATTGGCTTTCGAACTAGTAAGGAATTTGGTTCAGTCAAAACAATGGGATTGTCGATTGAAATAGTTCCACTGAATTTTAGAAAGATAAAAAGGATAAGACAATAATTTAAAATATTACAAAAAAATGTTGTAAAACTCTGCCTATCAGGTCTAATCATTCAAAATACGCAGTTTGATGGCCAAAAACTGGACAAATATTGATTTTATTGGTTTTCGATCGGACCCGATTTTGCTTTGGACATATCAGCCAAGGCACCGGTTGAGCTGGTCCAATCCGATCATGAATTTGCAGCTCCCGGTCTAATGGTTTCCCATGGATTTAGGACCTAAAACATGTCGTAAATCACTCCATTTCTAGATGGTGATGACCTAATGGACCATAGATTTCTCACCATTGGATCATTCTTCACTTCCCCTTTCTTCAAAGCAAATACGTTTAGCGGCTGTGGTGTCATATACCCAAAGTACTAATTACTGAATAAACATTTTTCCAAAGAGGAGATATATAGATCTCAAGTACTCACAGTTTTAGGAACAAAAATCAATCTCTTGATTGGATGCTCTAAATATTCAAGCTTGATAGGTAGCACAATTCTGAACAAACCCTCCCTGTGTATCCAATTGAACATTATCATGAGATGGTTAATTATCAGCATATGAAATGTCTGACATAGAACCAGCAATTAGAAAATCATCACTCAAGCTCAGACTCTTCCGAGCTGCTCAGAACTGGCATTATGCCGGTCCATACCAGGCGAGTTGGAGCCGAGCCAAAAATTTCTTATATATTTTCATTGAAACTCTGCCGAGTCAACAGCCCAACCTTACAGAATTGGGCGATTCAACCCAGCAGAATTGGACTCTGACATGAGCTCAGGAACCTGAAGAGTCAAATCCCAAGTCCGGGTTTTCAAACACTTTATATAACTATTCACTCATTTGGGTTGGCCTGATGGTGGTCAGGCATTTTGTTAGAAACCAAAATCTATCTATGATTTGTCTGCAACAAAACAAATATTATCAAGGTCAAACTAAAACCATACAATCCTAAAAAAACCTCTCCACAAGAGATATCAAGTTCCATTCTCTTCGGGGGAACTTTTTTATTTACCCAAACAAAAAAAAAGCCATGCAATTCCCATCCAGGCCATGAATTTGTAAAAAATTTTAAATAATGGAAGAAGGTACTGCCAAAGATGAATTTTGTAGACCCTATTTTGGCCCCATTATCAGTCAGTGTCTATGTAGGAATGCACATATGCAAGAGAGTGGAATGATCATGTGGCAACATACCATGTGGCTACTGCAAGATTCATCAATGATAAAATAGATTTATTTAATATTTCATACTTTTCGGATCTTAGCTATCATCTTTATAAACGCTGGACTAGAGGCCCAAATTATTTACAGATTTCTTTATATCCCATACTTAACAGATTCAAAATTTCAGTCTCCCAATGGTAGCCTTTTCTGCTCATAGGAACTCTTTCTCATGTACTGATTCGTCGACCCATTAAATAACCTCTTCCTATGATGTTTATCATAAATTCTAATTATGTTTTCTTTTAAAAGTAAAATACATAAATTCTAATTATCTTTTCTTTTAAAGGTAAAATAAATTGCAAATTTCCGAAAAAGAATGGTAAAGCCAATGCCAAAATGCTTCTATCTCTTCATAAACTGATAAGCTACAATAAGTACGGAACCTCCAGACCAACACATGGACATGGAGGAGTTTTAAAAGAGAACTAATATATAGTGTTTCCTATCCCAGATTCATAGGGTGTACTTTATATCAAACTGCACAGGGGACAAAGAATGCTTCAGTGATAAAACCGCTTTATGCATTTAAAATGCTATTAATAATATAAAGACAATTCTATTAATATATAAAGACACAAATTAACTGTTTTCAAGATTAACAAAATTTAAAGAGACAAACAAATTCAACAGTACGGATTATTTCAAATTCAAACAGATTTTCAAGAAATAAACATTCTACAGATGGTAACAACAGTGTAGTTTGGCTAGGAAGTTGTATCAGAAATTAGTCCAAACCTTCATGTTCGTGATGGTGCAGTGATGAATATAATCAGAAGTAAATACTAAAGCTCTAGCTTGTAATGATTCCATCAGCATGATACTTTCATCTATAAAATAAACCCAGAATGACACCGGTGCTAACCTTTGCAGGTCAGTAGAGCACTCTATTCGAACCAGAGTCTGGGTGATCCATGAGAGAGAGGCGTGAAACGTGCAATTCTACGTGTTTCACAATTTAATTGGCCAGTGCAAAGAGCACCAACACAACTACGGTTTGAAAATTTATTGATCCGAATCAAAATCGCTTAATTCAAATTAATTTTAGGGCCCTCTATATATCGGGAATCGGGCCGTTCTCAATTAGAACCGACCAGTTCTCTAATGGAACCCGGCTGTCCAATTGCTAAAATGGTGGATCTAAGTCTTTAAGTACTCAAAATTATTATTTAATGCTTGTAATGAACTCATAAGGTGATTCTATATGGAGGCCCTTTCTCAAATTTTTTATTGCAACCTAATCTCTCAATGTTTTTCTCTCACTCTTTCTCTCTTTAAACAATGGCGTTTTAATGCTTTCCCTTATCTCTCTTTAAACAATACCGTTTTAATCCCTATCGTTCAATTTTTAAAGTTCCTACAACATCACAACTTTTAGATTAGTTACAATCCAATGGCTCGAACACGAGATGAAAAGTAAAAAAAATCACATGCTTAATGTGGCTTCACACATGTAATAAAAACGGCACATAAAAAAAAGCCATGAAATGACCCATGTCGCTTATCATTACGATGGTGCTCCCTATCTTGGGGTGCTTGGGAGGACTTGATTTATGTAGTACGTTTATATTAAATCGGTTGGGATCACTTTAGTCGATTAGTCTCTAATAAAAATATAATTTTTTTAAAAAAATATCCTATTTATTTTAATCTGTTAGGAACTCCATGTTTGTAAAACAATCTTCAAAAAACTGTATTTATCTAAACTTCTTCCCTCCAACTCTATTGAAACTTCGCTTTTCTTTATTGATTTAATATCTTTGAATTTTTTTTGTTAAAAATGATTTAAAATGAGATATTCAATATAAAAAAATTAATTTTTATTAGACTTTGAAACTTTAGTGTTCTCACAATTACACATGCACGCCTTAAAGTCCCACAAATATTTAGAAAAAAGAGATTGGAGGGTTATCATAAGAACCAAACTAAGCCTAAATTTAAAAACTTTTGAAAAAGTTCAAAAAAAAAAAAAATAAACTGTCTATTTTCAACCTTAAAATGTAGAATCACAAATACACCTCAAAAATTTATTGGAAATGTTGTTTTAATGTTGACAAACCCTCTAATCGATCATCTCGATATCGAGATGTATGAATATGAAAAAAGAAAAATAAAATTGAGTCCTTGAAATAATGCACCTTGCAACACATTATCTACACCATGTATTTTCAAGATTTTCATATATTTATAGATCTACTTGATTTTAACCATGTTTAGAATTTAAAATTTTATAGTTAGATATGAAAGAGATTTTAAGATAATCCTAAAAAAAATCTTACATCAAAATTATATGTTATGATAAAATTTTGAGGTGCAACTTAATTGGATTGTTTATGGTTGAAACCTTATAGAAACCGCACCCTTTAAAATATAAATAACTTTTGAAACTTCCCGAGAAATCAAATACTCGAGTTTTAAAATACAAATAACTTTTGAAACTACCCCCGAGTTCCTTTCATGATTGCCCTCCATTTTTATCGAAGCTGCAATCCCCTTCCACCATTTTTAGGGAAGCTGCAAACCCCTTCAAGACCCCTTTTAGCGAGATCCTTATCAGGATCGACCTACCTTGATGGAAGGAGCGAGTAACTTTCATGCTCTAGCTCTGGATCACCAGAGCGAGAATCCGAGGGGGAGTGAGATCCTTATAAGGATCAAACTTTGTTAATGGAAGGAGCGAGAACCTTCGTGCTCTAGCTCCAGATCATTAGAGCAAGAATCCAAGGGGAATTGCTAACTTTCATGCTCTAGCTTTGGATCACCAGAGCGAGAATCCGAGGGGGATTGCCAGCTCTGGGTCACCAGAGTGAAGATCGTGTTCACGCTCTAGCTCTGGATCACCAGAGCGAGAATCCGAGGGGGATTGCCAGCTCTGGGGTCACGAGAGTGAGAATCGCAGGGAATTGACAGCTCCAGGATC